TGTTTGCGTTGGGAGTCGGAGGCACTGTATGTGTGGCTCTTGTCGTGACAGTCATTGTCTGCCGATATGTCTATACCGGCAAAGGAGTGCTCCAGAAATAGTAGTCTCAGCACAACATTCACTGAAAAGCAATACAAATTCATAGCAAATATCATTTCAAAATTATTTTTTCCAAGATTTTTGCAAATTATCTCATGTTTTAAATAAAAAATCAGTTTTTAAACAAATTTCTTGTTATTTTCTAATAAATGGTTAATTCAAAACATATTAAATCAATACCTCATTACCATTACATTCAAAAACCTAATCGTTTTGTTTAAAAGCTAAATAACAGGACACTTATAGAAATGACTTTTGTCTTAATTTAAGGATTAGTTTTTTGTCTATAAGAAAGTATTTCACTTATTATTGTTTTGTTTTGTTATTTGTAACTGATTTAACGTTTAAATGATTTTGGTTTGGTTTTTAAATGTTGTTTTAATGTATTTTTTAATCGAAATAAATGTTTACATTGTTTTTAAGTTTTGTTAATTTGGATATTTTTATAATAGTTTATAAAGTTTATACCAATGTTTTGGTAAGTATTTTCAATACATTGATTGTAAATTGTATTTTTAATACTTGATAAAACACTTAAATATATTTACAATAAATTTGCAAATTTACGAGTCGTCTAATTATGAATTCTTACAGTTTGAATGATTATTATTGTTAAAGAATTGTGGTATAAAAGTAGAGAAATGTGTTATTTTGGATTACAGGGCAATAGGTAAGAATAATTTCGTATTTGTTACCATATTTGACAACATTTTCGTTTTATTAGCACTGATTTTAAAGACAATTTTTTAATTCATAATTAATTTCAATTGATATCTTCTTTGAGTTTTAATAACTTGTTTTGTATTTAACTTTTTGTGAGGACTTCTTGTATTGAATTTGCCGTTCATTTCGAGTTGTATTTTTTGAATTCAAAGTTCACTAAAACAATGACTGAATTTGTGTTTGCATTAAGACTTTGGATGCGATTCTTGCGGTCGCCGTCTGTCCACGAGTTTGAGTCCAAGAGTTGGCCAAACATTCTGTCATTGGATTGAAAGCCAAACATTCCTACGAAAGGAAAGATGTATTGAAAGGCAGACGTGAACTGAATGTCAAAGTTGTTTGAATTGGCAAATATGAAGGCAATGGATGTCGAGGTCTTGGGATCACTTAATTCAAAGTCCAAACTGTTCTTGAATTGAGACAACTGTTCAAAGTATGCCGACATATCTGTTGTCGATATTATAACGCTTGCAGTTCTGACCCGATGTCCGCCAACTGTCAGAAAAATGTGGTCCAAAAGGAACGGACATTTTGACAACGTTTTGGCCGCGATTACAGATCCGCCACCAAAAGAGACATTGTTGTCAAGTCTTGAGACCAATTGGTTGATGGCATCAGTGGTTTGTGTGTCTCTGAGGATACCTTTTGGAGTTCTGTCTCTCTTTCTCGAAGACTCGAAGAACAAAACACACGAAACATCTTTGGTGTTCACCTCTTCGGCAGAATAATAAGCGTTTACTTCAATGCCATCGATGTCTGGAATCAATAGTGACGTCAAACCTATTGTTTTCAAACGAGATATTAATGATTGATTTGATGTAAAATTTATTAGTAATTGAAAATACATGGAAATGAAGTCCTTTGGAAGAGATTCCTTTCCCTTTGATTTTGATGACCACTAAAATTGGTTAAACTCTTGAACCGAATACTACTCGTGAGGACAGTCTTCCCGACGTCTAAGTAAGTGATCTGACAGTCCTTCGGAAGGCCGGCACTCATCTGTTGCACTGAATTCTCTTTCCGTCGGTAATCAATGTCTTGACGATAGCCTCCGATCAGAACCAACACGTGTTTTGGTCTCATATTTAGCCACCGATTGCTGTAATGACTGAAAGACTCGAACAGTCTTTGGGAGTCATAAAGAGGCGATTCTTTGAGGAACTCGTAGTTCAAGAGATAGAGATGTATAATGTCTTTGCGTTTCTCCGACTCATAAGCGGTCGCATTGAAGAAGTCTTTGGACACCGAATGACTTGTGAACAGAGATCTGATGTCGAGTTCGCTAACGATTCTTGCGATCAGATATGGATTCTTGAGAACTAACTCCTGACTGTCTTCAGTAATATTGGTGTCCATCGGTTCCAAAGCACTTGCATTTGGATCCGAACCGCAAGTAATACTTGTATCCATTGTATGGTAAGGACTTGACTTTGGGTCTGAAGTCTTAAAATAACTGATTTTATGATTTACTGTTTACTATAACTTATAACTGTTTTTATGCTTTTTGGATCCGAACCGCAAGTAATACTTGTATCCATTGTATGGTAAGGACTTGACTTTGGGTCTGAAGTCTTAAAATAACTGATTTTATGATTTACTGTTTACTATAACTTATAACTGTTTTTATGCTTTAAATTTTAATTGTTTGAATTGATGCCGGAATTGTCTCGCATAGAATGGTAAACACATTATTAGATAAATATTGGCTTTGATTAAAACAATTAAATGTGAACTGATTTTAAATCATATAAAGTTAACGACGAGAAGACAATGAATTAATTTTATGTAGAAAATCAAATTAAAAGCAGTAAAAACTCTTATAACTCTCTTCTAATAATTATTGTGATATTTATAAGCTTTTAAATAAATTAATTTAATTTTCTTAAACTATTAAAGTGAATACTAGTTAATAACTGATGGTAAACTCGGTAAATACAAAGCCATGTGTAAATTGTTTAAATGAATTGTTTGTTTATTTAATTAATACAATAAATAATAATATATTAAATTTAAAAACTATAATAAAATTCATAACAAAATAAGAAAAGAAGAATTAGAAAAAATAGTAGGCATTGAAAAGTGATTCCCAATAAGTGTCGGATTATTTGTCGCACAACTTTCCCTACGATTCCCTTTCCGTTTATAACTTAGACCTTTTGGATACCATACGGAGCTCTTGAGAACCCTTGGTCTTTGTGGAAGGGGTGCCACCACTATCTGATGACGATTTCTTGGCTAACTTTGCTTTTGCCTTACGTTTACGATTTTCTGCTCAATCAATTGTTAACAAAACAGTTACATATTTTTTCAGGCAATTACTAATTAAATAATAACTCACGCATTAAAAGTACGACAAATATCGAAATAATCAAAACGATGATAAGTATGACAATCACTATTAGTAGGGCCGTTGAGCTTGAATTTTGCGATGACTTTCGCCGAGGGTTAACGGCCAGTGCGGGCACATTAGTGCCATTGCCGGTGCCATTCGCCGAGACATCGGTAGTTGTGCTCGCATTCAACGTAATTTCTGTGTTATAGTCGTCGTCAATTTCGGTGTCGTTGCCGGCGGACCCGTTGTTGGCACCAGTGTTGTGTTCAGACACTTCCGCCCGTTTCTTAGAGCTCTTGGGAGTGGTTGTGGTGGGAGTTATCTTATTGAAGTCATTACAGGGAAGGTATTTCTTGCACTCGTCGTCAGTGACGGCCGCCGTCGAGGCACTCATACAACGCTGTTTCGCCGTCTCTTCAGTCAACGACCCGTCGGTCGACAGACACTGAGACTCCGCGTAATCGTAGAGACGGTTGATGTGATCGTCAAACGCCGGCGAAGACACTGTACACCGCTTCGGGAACTATTTGGGGCAAACAGTTGGACAGTTAATCACAATACGCGATATGTCTGTGGGATTAGCTCTGGGGTGACACTTACCAGAGTTTTTTTGAGACATGCAAACTCATAGGTCATACAACAGGTGGGCATTAGTTTGACATCGTTTGGATCACTCCATCGATGTGATGAGCACTTCCGGAGCCGACTGTAGTAATTGAGTGCTTCGGCATTGCATTCAAAGCTCACAT